TTATAGAATTATCCATTTTTGGTAACAAAATGTTCATTGTCAACTTACATCTGAAACAAATGACAATCAGTAAGTACGGAATAGCTGCTTTATTTGAGTAAAGGACTCTTGAATAGTTAGCAGTCATCACCATAAAAGATGACAAATCCACAAATTTCAAATATAATAGCGACCACTAGACTTTTGGATAATTATTACTGAAATCCAGTAATCGCCTCATAATGGCAGTTCATTAGAGATTTTGGTTTCCTAGTTTTATACGATTTTGTACTAAAAAGTAGTGAAAAATTGATGAATTTATTCACGTGCCACCTTACCAAATAACTCATGGATGAGAAGTTCACTTCGAGTTCATTGCATTTTTAAACAATAAGTCCTCTTAGATTTATATTATGAGTGGATCAATGTTAGACAACCACTGAAGTCCGATACTAGGACGAAACGGCCGTCCAGTCCATCCACGTTTTCTATGGTAGTCTAAAATTGATCCATTCATGATATAAATCTAAGCTCAGCGATATCCACAACCGTTTACTGACAATAATTTCTCCTAGAATTATTAATTTTTCATTTGATATTCATTACAATAGCTAGTCAAGACAATTAACAGAAAGTTACTCAAAAAACATTCTCATGCAATTCAAGACCTTATTTACATTTTCTCTAGAAATCCATTAACTTACTGACCTTAGGTTTTCAGAGGATATCAATATTTTAAACTGAAATTTACAACTTCATCATTGTAGTTTGTAGTGACCTACTTTTATCAAGAGAACGCAATTGGTATAATGGGAACAATTATTATTATAATCGATTGTACCAGTGATTGTTTTACTGTACTTGTTTTTTTTTAACTGTTCGAAAACGCATACACTCTTCCTTCGGTTACTTGTGACCCTGCACGGATTCGGTTACGCTCACTAACCACATTTGTACTCCTTTGGCACGATCTCGGTATTTTTTCGATACCACGAGATCATCAACAAATACATCTCGACTACAGCCATCAACTGCCTTCTGATATTTGGCCTGCGGGGGGTCTTATCGGTTAACTGACACGTAGTCTTGCTGTAGTAGTGATTACAGTCAATCGCGACTCGACGCCACACTACAAGTTATTGCAAATGAACATCGCTCTTCCAATTCACGTTTAACTGAAAATCTGAAAACAGATCATGCTAACATATTTTTAAATTATTTCAGAAACAAACGAAAAGACCTTAAAAATCTTCATTAACAGCCTTATCTATAAGCCACAGTGAAAAGCATAACAGTAAAGAAAATAAAATGAAAATCCATCCATAAAACAAATTACATGACTGTAAAATTCATTACATCCAATTATATACACATCACCTTCAGCAAACTGTACATACGAAAATAAAACAATATTCAAATTTTCCATCTCAAAACAACAACGCATTATCTGTTAATCTACAGAGAGGAGTTAATGTTTTTTTAGAGGGTGTTATTTTGTATCAAAAGAATTTGTCGAGACTCTAATTTATGGACGAACTTTGAACGAATCTTAAGCGACTTTGAGAAATATTAGCCAATCAGCAAACAGTCAGTATAGAGTAAAAATATATTATACGAAACCAAGGAAACAAGGTGGATACACTTCTCATACGTGGTTCAAAAACTTGTTAAGGTTAGAAAAAGGTTCAGATGTTCTAAAATCGTAATGCATGTAGTAGAGGAAATCATCCATACGGCTACAGAATAGTCGGCCTATGGAGCCATGATAAAGTCTCAAAAACCCTTTCAGCCTCGACCACATAGCTTCAATATTGTTTATGTGCACTCCGGTTGTTGAGTGCACAAAATGCTACTTGTGGATAACGACAAGATGCACATAACGAAGTCTTTGTAGAAGTCTGTTCGCCCTCCAAACACCCGTATATATTGTAGTACCTGGCTGCAGTCAGTGTTACTGGTGCTTTTATTATGCATTTCGCAATAATTGTCGTAATTTGCCTTAATTAGGAATTATAAATGGGGTTTTTATCAAGAATTAGCATAAGCTATAATGCCAGAAATTTATTTAGCCAAATGGATGAAAGGCTTTCACGTTAAAATTCGAGATCTATTATCTTATACCTGATTGTTTCGTCTACAAATTATAGCCAGTTATGACGTTTTTTACAAAATTCCCTGTGAACCGATCGTACGTTAGCTTTAAGCACTGAAGTTGGCGCCGTAACCTTGAAATCTTTAAGACGCCTCTGATTGGCTCGTCCGTAAATTAGAGTCTCGCATTAATTCCTTTTATCCTTACATTTTGATTGTAGCTACCAGTTAAGTAAATGAATTGAACTGAAATCAGATATTGTCACTGTGAACAGTCAGTAATTCAGAACTGTAGTTTAAAGCTGCCGAAATCAATAACGTTCTTGGTTCATCAATAAATTAGAGTCTCACCAAGAATTTGTGTTATCACACATTTCGATTCATATGAAAAGAGATTTTAAACAAAGTTTATCATCAGATAAGATATTATACTAACTCAACAAACATTAGATAAGTCTTTCATTCTAACTTGACACTAATCAGAAATCCTTCTTACAGAAATACAACTTTTATATTAAGCTGTGATGAGAATTATATACAAATTAATAAACTCTCTGATAACCACTTCACTGAATAAAAAATAAATAAATTGTAGAACATTGAAGACCACCTATAGATACCCTTAGCCTTTTGAATCTGATTCGTTTTTGACTAGATGAACTAGTTTTCACATAACGTAGTTTTAAACAAATAAAAATAGACATATACATATATATACTACTTAATTAGATTGTAAGTTAACCTATCCAATGATTTCTTCTAAAAATGAACAAGTTGACAATGACTTATTTGTTGACAATTTATACGAAGATCAAATTGAATTGTGATAACGATACATAGATGTCTAGGTCATTTGTTGCATAATCACTGTAGTGAATTACGTTTTTTTTGTTTCTATTTGATAATTGTTAACATACTGATGAAATGACCTTAGATAAACTCTAATATAGACAGTTGTTACTATTAATTAAATAACGATTAGTTTTATTTGTTTATTACTTTGGAACCGTTGATCAGATTGATTGTCTAAACGTTAAAAGTTTTGTATAATTTTGTTGTTTTTTTCTTTGTTTCTTCAAAAGACAAACAGTAAGTGTAATTTATTGACAATAAACATTTTAATTAAAGTATATTCGGTATGGAATTTTTACTTGTTTACTTATGTGATTACTTAATTACTTATTTAAGCCAGTTACTCCCATTGGAGCATAGGCCGCCGACCAGCATTCTCCAACCCACTCTTTCCTGGGACTTCTTTTCTAGTTCTATCCAATTGTTGTTCTTTCTTCTCATGTCTGTCTCCATTTCTCGGCGTAATGTGTTCTTTGGTCTTCCTTTTCTCTTTTGGTCTTGAGGATTCCAAGTGAGAGCTTGCTTTGTGATGCAGTTGGGTGATTTCTTCAATGTATATCCTATTCATTTCCAGCGCTTCTTCTTGATTTCTTTCTCCTTTGGGATCTGGTTTATTCTCTCTCGCAGTAGATTATTGCTAATAGTGTCTGGCCGACGGAATCGAAGTATTTTGCATAGACAGTTGTTAATAAACACTTGTATCTTCTGGATAATGGCTTTCGTCGTTCTCCAAGTTTCCGCCTCATATAGTATACATATATATTCGTAGCATAGATTTGTTTATATGTATACCTGTGTGTTAGAACATGAAACAACTATGGTGAATCTAGACCACTGACAATATCCTAACCACTGTTATTATTATTATGTTCATAATTTTAATTATTAATTGTATATGGAAACATAAAAAATTGATGAAGGTAATCAAATTATCATTATTATTAACAACATTTGTGACAAAACGAAAATTCCCCACCTCTACTTCAATGAATAAGGAAAGTGAAAGAAATAATTAGTTACGTTGTATAACGTTTCTATAGATGAATAGAGCAGTTCTATGGAAATGACATGAAATGTTCTAGCACAGTTTATGGAGTAATATAAGGATAGTTTTAATTTAACCCACAATTTATCTAAATATTTATGAATCAGTGAATAAGTAATAAGTTTAATTCATATTACAAATAAACTCATGAAATGGTTTCAAATATAGTAAACCTTAGGAATTGGCTTTAATCTGGTAACTAATAGAAACTAGAGAGTATTAGCTTCTAGTTTCATCATAGTTTGAAACTTATTGGTAGGGAAAATTCATGATTCTTTTAAGGATTGTGGTCAATATGTGAACCAATGGTTTACACTATTAACTTCGTTAAGATTAACTATTTGGATTTACTCCACCTGGACACCCTCTGCGGCTACTACCAGTCTCAAGCCTGAAAAAAAGAGGAGGGTTGAGCATGGGGTTAACGACCCCATCCCGTAGAAAACTAACTCTTTGAAAAAATACTGAACATAAAGGTAATTCAAACCATTATAATATAACGGATCTATGATCAGATTGATTTTCAGACTAGTTCTTTGTTGTAAATCATTCCATTTGAATATCAAGACTAAAATGGCATTATTCTTTAATTATATGCCAGTGTGTCGGATTACATTGCCTACATATAAAAAAACCGAATAAGAACAGATCTTAATCTTCTAATAAAACTGTATTAATATCAAATGATAGAACAATATACCACTGTAAGTATTCCAGTAAAAACGAGTTAAAGAGAAGACCATAAACTGAGAAACTGTGACCCGTGACATTTAAATATTTAGTAATAACCCATTGATATCATGACCTGAATGTTTTGGGATTGGATTCCGTGTAGAATAGTTTGTATATACTGTTATGAAGTATAAAACTGAAATGAAAATAGTGTTCATTTCTTATGGTGATGTTATATTATAGTGATAACTAAGTTTATATTGAATTAACTTTATAAAAATCTTTTAGCTATCCTGATTAAATTCATTTGAAATCGTTCGAAATTTTGTCTTTTAGAGTGATTGTTGATGTATATAAAGAAATGGGTGTTCTGACAGTATGTTTACACATATTTATTAGTACTATATTAATGGTAAGTTTTGTTTTAATAACCTAATTCAGCTCTTTATTTATGTATAGTACAATTGTATTTATCACTAATAATTTTAATAGTTGAAATAATGTTTCAATTAAAACTAGACCACTATGGAAAGCCTGAAAGCACTGAACGGTTGTTTCGCCTTATTGTGGGGCTTCTCAACAGTACGTATTCACGATCACGCTTCGCGAGATTTCAAACCAGGATCTATCAGTCTCGCACGAGAACGCTTAACCTCCAGACCACTGAGCTGGCCGGCATTTAACGATGTTAATGTCCATCTTCAACTAATCCAGGTTTTCTATAGTGGTCTAGTTTAAAGTGACTCATGATCTCAACTATTAAAATTATTATAGTATCCACAAAATTTTTCTCTGGTTATAACTATTACTTATACTGAATCTACTTATCCAAACATCCACATAAATTTGATAAGTCTGGTGATGGAAAACATACAAACTGCTGAAAATCATTAAAATAAGAACTAATTTCTATATAAATACACATAGTACTGATATTTATTGGCTTGCAAATGGTCTACATCCAGAATTGTTTTAGTAAAAGGATGAATCACAGTTTAGGTATTTAGAAGAAGAAAACAGAATAGAACAAAGAAGGACATTCTTTCAAATTAGCCGTCCACTATGTTCCTGTATTGAGACATATCTTATACAATAGTAACAAAATCATTACTCATCGACACATATTCCATGATCTGATGTAAATACATAGTAAGTGATTATCAAAGTACATCAAAGATGAAAATGTGTATTTAAATATAATGTCCTAAACTAATAAATGATAAATAAACAAAAGTACATTAGTACAATGTGTGAAATAGTTACATAATAAATAATCATACATTGGTTAAAACAGATCAGGAGAAAATACTTTCCGTAATCAAGCTGTGGATTTTCTTGTACGACTGCCCAATCCTTAATCCTGACAGTAGACATTTAGCATAAATCTCTAGCATTAACTCGGATAAATAAATCTAGGTGGTTCAGGCGTAAATTTCTTCCTTCTAAATTTCATAATGAAACCCAAACAGCTGGGTTTTTCTTTCAAATCCAAAGTTGTTCACATCATTTTTCTAGTGTTATATCAATCGTATTTTCTTGTTCTTAAATACCATATACCAAAAGAACAACGATAGTCTATTTCATTCTTTTAGCATCTGATCATTACGATGAGTACGTTGATCAGAAAGTTTTTATAAAGTACTATGAAATTATTGATCAAAAATTTTAATTTGATTACTCGATGGTTGAAATTATGAATAATCTCGAATCAATGAATATAAACTAGGACGTCGGAGAATACCGTGATCAGAAGATCGAACTTTACTAACATACTTACTTACGCCTGTTACCCTTCATGGAAGACCATAGGCCGTCCACCTGCATTCTCTATCAAACTCTTTCATTGACAATCCTTTCCAGTTGCTGTTCATTCCTTTCATGTCTATTTCCAAATCTTGACGTAATGTGTTCCTTGGTTTGACATGTTTTCCTTTACACTTCAGGATTGCAAGTTAGGGGCTGCCTTATGATGCAGTTTGGTCACTTTCTCAGTGTGTGTCCTGCCCACCCCCAGCGACTTTTCTTATTTTCTTCTTCAGTTGGAAGTTAGTTTGTTCTTTATCATAGTAGGCTGTTGCTGATGGTCGCCGGTTTACGAACGTTTAGTGTCTTTTGTAGACAGCTGTTTATAAATACTTGTATTTTTTTGATGGTAGTTGTAGTAGTTCTTGAAGTTTCAGCTCCATACAGTCGAACTGTCTTGACGTTCGTATTGAAGACTTTGAATTTTATGTTGACTAACGGTTATTCTGAGTTCCATATGTTCTTCATTTGTAAGAATGCTACCCTTGCTTTTTCAGTGCTTGGCTTTACGCTTGTATCAGATCCTCCTTGTTGATCGATGATTCTGACCAAGTTTCACCTCTTCCAGAGTTTCTCTATAGAGTTTGATTGGGCTGGTGTTCTCCGTGTTGTTTTTCAGGATCTCGTTTTTATTTTGTGTATGCTGATTCCTACTGCTGTAGAGGCTACTGCCACACTGGTTGACTTTATCTGCATTTGTGGGTGTGTATAGGATAGAAGAACAAAGTCATCTGCGACGTCCGAAATGTCTAGTTGTATACAAGCTGTGCATTGTATTTCTTGCTTTCCCTGAGATTTGAAGGACAGTCGAACATAATGAATTATATATTTGCTATTGTCTTCACCAGACAAGAGTTATTTTTGAGTTAGACATTTGATCAGGTCATTTATTATCTACAACTCGATTGAAGTGACCTCATTTTATATCAGTGATAGTATATTATGTATACGATAATTTATGTTCTCAACCTTGAGCGAAATAGTCAAAGAGCTTTCAAAGGTTTTCTAAAACCAATTATGCCATCCAAGATGCTTCTCTGATACAAGTCCGCTTAATTGAATTTCAGGTATCAGATATTTCAGGTACCTAAAGATCAGTTCATTAGATCAGATCTGAGTTACTCTACTCGTATATATCGTTTTGTGATACTACCAAATTGCATGGACCTTATTATAGTAGATGAGTTGGAACCTGCAGTCAAATGGTTTAAACTTGTGTTGTATAATGGGTCACCTAATAAAACATATTGTGAATACTAATTCAAATGATATGACATTTCAGTGTATTATGTTCTTATACTAATATATTTACATTCATTTACTATAAGTCTTTTAAATCATCGTTTCATTTCTATGGCACCAGTTATTAATTCAGAATTTTGATAAAACTGATGGCCTATCAGAACGGTGTCATTGTTAAGCCGTATTCAAACTCTGATTAACTCCAGTTAAACATAATTGACCATATTAATCGATTATCACATTTTAGCCCTCGCACAAAAAGTGTTTCTCAACAAGTTTTCTTTAAACAGAGACTAATGATCAATAACATCTATACAAGTTTGGATATGTACGGACGAGGAGTCTAGTATAAGGACGAAACAGATGTCCAGTATTCCTGGAGCCCAGTGATATCTGAACTGAGACAAATCTATGACGAATGAAACCTATAAACATGATTTAGTTTTAAAAAATGGTTTAAACAGAAGAGTGAAACAGTATCAACTAAAAAACTATAGAAAATGTATAGATCTTCAGTACTGTAATTGATTTTGATCTATGTCACTTAATATGCCTAACCGATAGAAAAATATCAGCTTACAGCTATCAATGAAGAGTCCTGTGTTTTTTGATTTAGACCAATTCAATAAACAGTCTTCGAGTAGACTAATGGTATGAATTGATTAGGTAATTTTGTAACTGTTATTAAGTATAGATTTTCAGGTTTGTTAGTGAATTGATATGAGAGAGAAATACTTCCCTGTCTCTTGAAAGTGAGTTTGACTTATTTATTCACCTGACACACAGTCTTTCAGGGCATGAAGAACAAAACTTGACAACGAATCATGTTAAACCTATGATAGATACAATACATATATCCACTCCATTTGTTTTCTTTCTCTTTATGAAGTCGTCATGTGAGTTTCCATGAACGTGTTGATATTTAATAGAAAAAGGGAAAAAAGCACTTTTAGAAGGATAATTAGCGCTGAATAATGAATGATATAAACGTTTTATTTTTTCTGACTAACTATGGCACACTTTTTCTGTGCATAAAACACATGATGAGAAATACGGCACGACAGTTATTATTAGTCAGATTTTGAAATTATTTTATGACTTGGTCAAATTCACTAATAATGGATAAATAACTCAGTTTATGCTCAACTGAAGATGATAGTGAAATAAATGAAATAAACCATGTTGCTAAGTTCCATTTGGGAATTAATGGATCATGGCTTGAAAAAGAATTTGGGTCAAAGACTCCGTCTGTTTGGGGATATCCAGTTGACTAATAACAAAAGTGATATAACTCTGCTTTTGGATTACGCTGTCAGTCATAATCTAATAATACTAAGACATGTAATAAAATGCTACATCAACCAATAAATATTGATCACAATGTACTTCTAAATATCGACAATGAGAAAACTTATATCCTCTCAGATAATAATGATAATATGATCTCTCTAGAGGCTAAGCATATACGCGTGAGATCGACAGGTTCTGAGTTAGAATCCCACGAGTGGGATTGCTACTGAGTAGTACCATATAAGGACGAAACGGCCATCTAATGCTTCCAGGTTTTCCATGGTGGTCTAGCTTTAATTGACTTATGAATAATTCAACTAATGAATTACTAAAAATCTCCACAAAATTCTTTTGTGAACATAAAATACCTCATATAATTTTAATATCATAGAGGCACCTCAAAACTGTTTATCATTGTATCTTCATATTAACTATTTACATAGTTTATCAAAGTTTTCTTCTTTTGTAGAATATTTCAAGTGTATCTGATGAATCCTTTAATGGAAAGTGCAAAACAAAATGAATGTTTATACCCTTTTTTATGTTACATTATTTTATTACACTAACTAATTGAAACTTTTATATATTTTTCTTTATGGTTTTCAGTGCATTTTATCTATTTTCGTAGCATTTATTGGTATATTGAAATGGTGTGATGTCACTTTTCAATTTATAATGAAATCATTACTATTGCCAATATTAAAGCAAGTAAACAATAATGCTGATGAAACAACCATTCAAAGATTGATAGAACATATACGTTCAGCAACAGGTATATGCTAAATGAAGAGAAAACAAACTTAATATTAGTTCTTTCGATGAGACTATAATTTATGGACGACCTTTAAGCGACGCTAAAGTGACCTTGAGAGTGTCCACTAAGACCAAATGAAGATTATAAACCAGTGTGAAAAATTAGAATTATGATTTACAGCTGATAGTTAAGGTTAAAAATTAGATTTAGTGTTTTTAACATGAATTGACATCAGCTTAAATGCCAAAACTCTATTTAGCCAAATGGATGAGTTAATTTTCGCGCCAAAATCCGAAACCTGTTATTTTATACCTGAATGGTTCGTTCATAAATTATAGTTTCACCGTTCTTTCTTTTCTGTGTATAAATAAAATCAATAATCAACTGAATGTTTATTTTGGTAAATACCATAGTTAAAAATTTAAGAAATATCTATCACGAATGATCGGATCAATAGTAAGCGGGCTACCGACATTCATCTATAAAGTATCGTTATCTGCAATTTTATTTGGAGATGAAAAAATGCCTTGACAAACTATTAGATGGGACGAATGATTGTTTTTTCTTTGGTGGATTGATAACTGTTACCTGAAAAAATCTTACTTACTTATTGACTCGCACCTGTTACCCCTCGTCGAAGAGCATAGGCCGCTCCCCAGCACTCTTCATTCAACCCTGTCCTGGGCAATCCCTACCAGTAATTTCCTGTTTCTGTTCATCCTTTTCATGTCTGCTTCCAATCTCCGACGTAGTTTGTTCTTCGGCCTTCCTCTTTTCCGTTTCGCTTCAGAATTCCAGGTTACCTCTTCCCTCGTGATACAGTTTGTGATTTCCGTAATGCATGTCTTATCTACTTCTAACATCTTTTTCTGGTTTCTTCTTCAGCTAGAAGCTGGTTTTTCCTCTCCCACAAAAGGCTGTTGCTCATGGTATCCGGCTGATATTTAAACAATATAACTAACCATAACACAATTTATTAGTCCGAAACCCCTCACTAAAAAACTTCAGAGTAAACGTAGATTTGTTTCAAATGAGAAATTTACGTTTTAACATAAATGACTAATCAGATTTCAATCAAATCTTAATTGAATAGAACACAGTATGGTGTTTAATCAGTTTATTAATGCGATAAACAACATCTAAACACTGATTAATGTGCTTGAAGCTATTCGTTAGCAACTATTTAAATGATTTCTGATCCAATAATAAGAATTTGGTTCAAACTAAGTGTTTTAATTCGAAGCAAGGATTTGATTTGTTGTCAGTGTGTGATCTGGATACTCGTGTAAGTTACAGAAGAACGCAATCAATCATTGTTAGCTTGTTTTTTATTTGTTTTTCTTGTTTTCAGATCATCTAACATTGGCAGTTTTTATTGTTACCATAATACTTTTGGTAATTTTGTGTTTTGGTATGGTTGGAATTTGTTTTCGTAGCAAGGTCATTATTTTCATTGTAAGTGAAATACCTTTTTATAACTACTATATATTATTATGAAAATTCTGGTTAGCTTATTTTTAGCAAGGTTATGTTCCACTGGATATGGATGCTGACCACATGCTCAACTCTCTTCTTTTACCCAAGCTTGGGACCGTCGTTAGCCCTAGAAGAGCTACTGGTGGAGTTACGATGATTGTCCACTAAAACATATTTTTGAAAAGGTTTTGAATTTTTGCCTTATTAATATTTAGGAGTTAATTGTGACCAATCTTTGTTAGCTTATATGCATCTTCAGAAGGGTGCCTTGATTCAGCTTTTAGTTATAAGTATGGCTGAACTATAGAAACAGCGACTGATATTTGGAGCTTGTCATTTTGATATAGTTGAAAATCAATATCATGATACATTACGATTCTCATGCAGGACTAAACTCTTTTCGTGAATCATACTACAAGCCACAATATTAAAATTCTAAAACTTAATATTAATAATAAGCGAAATTTAATGTTTACTTTACAAACTAAAATGAAACTCATATTCGAATAAACATTTTCAACTCTGACTATATTAGCTATATAATGCATCTATGCGCAAGCCATACTGTGTATCAAGTTGATTTCAATCTACTGAATTTGAAATTATGGTTCATTTAGTGTCAATTTGGTGGTCCAAGTGTCATGAACTCACCAGCTAGTTCTTAAGTTATCAATTCTAGTCCCTGACAACAGCCTGAGTGAACATCACCTAAAAGTCTTTTTCATTATTTATTATGATAAACAAATCTCACGAAGTATATTTTCTTCTAATAGAATTGGCATGAACATTTTTAATTGTCGAGATCATGAGTCAACTGAAGTTAAACCACCATGGAAAACCGTGGAAATCTATTAAGATTACTATAATATCCACAAAAACCCTCGTAATATTATTCAACCTATGCTCACTAGCGACTGGCTTCAAGAGTTATTTCTTGGAGTTCTAGTGAGCAGCCGTCACCAGGGGAGTTCAACCGGGTCCGTTGTGAGATAGTAACTCACTGATGACAATGGTGGATGTGTCACTCGATTTCGTAGATTAGTTGAAGTTAAACATTAACACCGTTGAATGCCGGTCAGCTCAGTGGTCTAGAGTTCAAGCATTCGCGCGCGAGATCGATAGGTCCTGAGTTCGAATCTCGCGAGGGGAATCGTGGATGCGCACTGCTGAGGAGTCCCACAATAGGACGAAATGGCCATCCAGTGCTTTGAGGATTTCCATGGTGATCTAACTTCAATTGGCTCATGATCTCAACTATTAAAGTCACTATAATATCCACAAAAACCCCTTCTGATAGTAAACATTTTGCTAAAATACTTAACACTTCTTATCTAAACCGAGATGTTAAGAATCTCTTCTGAAGAATATGTATATATTTTTCTCTCGTAGAGGACATTCATAATATAAAGCAAACCTCTCTTAAGTTATTCAGTAAACATTTTCAAAACATTCTTAAATAAATCAGGTATTCACGATAATCACCGTATTTAAATCGTTTGTTAAAGGAATCACATTATAATATATAATTAGAATTTCTTAAGTAAATGTCTAACACGAAGCAACAGATGAATAAACAACCAAATGACATAGAAAATTTACTCTTATTGAAACAATCGCTTTTGTTATTGGAAGAATTTCGCGTCAATAAGTGATAGTCTACTAAGGTAAAAGTTGCTGTCTAGTAAGTCAATTACGTAACTCTTGATCCTTAGATGTTTATGTTTTACAATTTGTCTTGATTATAGTTAAGAGATATTTCATGCTTAGCAAACATGTCTGAAGTGAATATTTTTTTGGAATTGGTTAAATAAGAGTAAACCTAAAGACTAGTTTATTATGTGAACTCTATGTTTAAGAAAGAAGTAATTGTACTTTATCTCCTGAATTGAATATATTTTTGCATTTTTTTCAAGTACATTCTTCTATTAGCACTTTCTATTGTATTACTGTCCGTTTGGCTGATAACAGAATCTGCTGATCCAGAAATAGTGAGTCTAATATTGGAATTCATGAGTAGTTTACTAATTATTTGTTGTAATCGAGTAGCAAAACGTAAAGCAAAAGGCTTACAAAATTTATAATGTCATCTGGCCTACTTAATTAATTTAAAAGTAGCCTAGTTTCATTCAATAAAAAAGTAGGTGGTATTAGTCATTTCCCCGTTTCTTAAACTGATGAAAAGCACCAGTCTTGAACCCTTTTATAGATTTACTAAATTTTGACAGCAATGCTCATATTCAACAGACAAAAATACTCCATTTTTTACCTTCACCAATTTCTGCCGTGTTAATAAATATACCGGAGAATTTAGAGTACATCGTAAACTTTAATCCAGACAACTACATTATTCTCAAAGATGGATAAAGGCTAGCAGTGGAATCCAGTTTGACGCGCGTTCCGCCTGTTTAGGACTCATCAGCTGGATGTACCTACATCTCAGAGTTGATGTTCACTCTTTGACTCAAACCAAGTACCATCCGCTTTAAATGCCATCGCGTTATCCACTCAGCTAGTGAGTCCTGATAGCCACTTGCTTGTGCAATGGGTTGAATTTAAATTCACATGGTATTGTTTCACTTGAATCTTCTCATTGATGTTTAGGACTACAGTTGATCAGTCTACGGCGCATCTAAGAATTCTACAACGTATGGAAATGATGGGTTAAATAATTTATATATATATACTTGCATTTATCCTTTACAACAGACCATTCTTGATTTAAACTACATCTTAATACCCTATATCAGCATTGTACTATGTAAACGTTCATCATTTATCAACTTTAAAATTCTACATTATTTATGCTAAACTAAAAACAACAGAACTTCATCAGATAGTAAGTATTTCATAATCGAAAAGACAATCCATTAGTGAACTCATATCCAATTGATCACAGCATGATACTGTTGTAATTAGTTTGCTGAGTTTGAATAATTTATAACAAATACAATTTCAGTTTTCAGTTAATCATAGAATAGAATATTTTAAAAAATAGTTCAGTGATATAATTGTTTTACTCACTCTGTTAATGACTCTAAACAAAAGTGCTAAAATAACCATAAAAAGATATTACATAACAATAAGCTATTTGGTTGTTTACAATGTTAAATCGTGTTTCTTCTGGTATACAGTGCTTTTTTAAAGTTCAATTGACTCGTCAACTGAAGTATATGTTATTTTTACATTTGGTTGATCACTGGGTGGTGATCAATGTCATGTGTGTCAAGTCCTGATTTAGTGCAGATCGAATGCTATCGACCATGTTGCAATGTGGCCACAAGTCTAGGTGACTCGACACTGCGTGCACTATACTACTAAGATTAGATGGTGGTTGGAGGTAGTCGACAGGAAACCCTGGACCGGGGTTTCGTGCTACTTGGCACTCGTTAGCAAGATGTACCTGCACTAAATAAGGACTTGACACACATGACATTGATCATCAACCAGTGGTCAATCAATTGTGATTACATCTCAGTCCTACAGGAGGTCGGTCGAGGCTCGGATAGCTCAGTGGTAACGTCTCTGACTGTGAAGCTGATTGACACGAGATCGAATCTTCCAGGGAGCACCAGTTCCCTCAAGATTACAGGTACACCTTGCTGTCGAGTGTCAAGTAGCATGAAACCCGGGTCCAGGGTTTCCTGTCGACTACCTACAACCACCATTTAATCTCAATATATTTATTTTTTTAAAGTCGACCCAACATTCAAATGAGTATGTATGACGAATGCATTTCAAGAAATGGAAAACAAAATGATTGTGAATATAGGAAAGCTGAATAATCATGAGACTGGTTATTTGAAACTATTTACCTCAAATAAGAAAAAAAAGAATGATTTAGATAGTGCAATGAAAACGTGGTGTGTACTACTTATATCGACGTAAGTAGTATATAACGCCAGTCAAGAGTAGAATGTCTGGCAGTAGAAAGTCAAGAAGATCGAGAAGGAAAGAATGGGAACATATAATAGTTGGTACGGAAATTCAATAACAATGAAGTCTGAGACGATTGACTGACATTTTACAAATTAAGTATTCATTGTATGGTTCTCAGATTGTACAAAGATGTTCTGTAAGCTTATCTTCAACTACATTCGTTCACTACAAGAACACAATGTGCTATATCAATCTAATACGTTCAGAACAATCTGAATATGCATTTACTTGTTAAGGTATATGTGAGTAATTAAAAGAAATCAAACTCCTCAGCAGTGCGCACCCAGGATCCCGCACCCCGCGAGATTCGAACCTAGGACCCACTGAGTCCCATACTAGGACGAAACGGCCGTCCAGTGCTTCCAGGTTTTCCATGGTGGTCTAGCTTCGATTGACTCACAATTTCAATCAGTGAAAAAAGTTTTAAATAAATAAAAAAAACCATAGAATCGTTGAGGAAACAAAGCGATAAGACTACAATCTAGACATGTTACCTTTGAACACAGAGATTAGCCAAGAATCAGTAAATTGCTAAAACCACTGTTTTATATAAGTTTTTGGTTTGTAATCTTTTCGAAACACTTTGTTTGACGTTATACATGACTTTGGAGTAGGATACAGGTAAGGCGACGGAGCCAGTGTTTATAAAGTGATCAACAGATGCATTTTTCTAGAGCTCTATTTGTTTGGCAGACATGACCAGTTCCATAAGAGCAAGTAAAATTATGGATAAGCATATTATCTAAAAGAAAATCCTTGATATTATTTTTCCTTAAAATCTAGTTGTCTCTTAATCAGTCAAACAGTCAAATCTAACTGGTGAACAGATTTCAGTCAATTTTGACAAACAGTTTACAAAAAATATTTTCCCGATATACTAGAAATCAATTAAGAACTTTGTTTAACAAATTCTGTCAGTCTTCATCAAAATACAAGTCAATACTGAAAAGATAATGTAGTAAACGGGAACACCAGTGGGAACAATCGACTGTATTTGAAAACAAAATTACAGAACATCTGAGTAAAATTTGAAAACTATAAACTGAATACTTTATTTGCAAAATGTCAATCAATTGTCTCAGACTTCATTGTTCTTTCGTCTCCATACCAATCATTCTTTGTTCTCTTTCTCTTTCCTTCGATCTTCTTAACCTTCTGCTGTCAGGCATTTCATCTTCGAATGATGATACATACTTTTTATATCTGTCGACGTCAGTGGCACACACCACACTCACCCCCATTTAGCCAATCGTTCTTGTGGTGGTTCTGTCCGCCGCAACACTTCCTTCTTTCCTGCAGTCTCTGCCACGCTTTCCTTCAAAATGTCGAAACTGTGGCGCGTTGACCTTCATAGCTCTGTCGACCTTCCGGACCATCGCAATTCGAAGTACACCCAGCACCTGAGACGTTCAGAGCCTGCACTCCGGAGACCTACTGAGCCATCCACATCTGATGTCCGTCCCACAGCTACTCACCGTCGACTGCACCCTCTACAATCAACGCCGCCCTTCTAGGACGCTCTAGTCGATGTGACTTCTCCGTACTAGACCCTCCCAAATAGCACCTCGTCTTCAGGCCTGCAACGGCGTCCGAGATTCTAGTAAGAGCCCATTACCAATGGACTTAAGCCATGTTAAATATTAGAAAGACTTCCACAATGACGATTGTTCATGTTCATTGGTAAAATAATAAATACCGACTCAGTAGTCTGACGATATGACACTTATCATGATGCCTGAAGGCCCTAGCTTTTGACGTCTCTGTAGTCGTACATGTGCACTACTGAGGAATCTTATACTAGAGTGTGACAGTTATCAAGTGCCTCCTGCTATTCACTAGTTCTTTAACCAAACCCAGTATGTGATACTAAACTTTGAATTCAGAAATCTCCACAACACGTTTTACCGATAGTTTTACAAGTTTTATCTATAAGTAACAGATACTTGTGAAATCATTTTCAATCCATTTCATCATATTCTTGTTAGATAAACATTCCTGTTAAAAACCAACTGAAGTTATTAATTGCTAATTATCATTCTGTGGCGTCTAATGAAGCGGATAGTGTGATTTTAGCAACTTTAATGCCTTTGGTAAGTATATTTTATCACATTTATTTGCATTCATTTGCATATACAAATGATATGAATTGCTGTAAAATCATACGAAATAGTGACAGAGCAGTTAAACTATTCAAATTAGGATTTACTTACTTCTGAACTTATTCAGTGAAGTTTGTGCAAACCTTCCTTATGGCTAACTCCTTTGACTGGAAATCGTAATTTTTATCGAAATTCAAAATTTTCAGTAGTTATTCTGTTAGAAGTGAACAACATAAATTGGGCTGAAATGTCGCCTATTTGTAGGTGATTCTCTTTAAGTATTGATATAATACACTAATGTACTAGATTCTCGTGGAGAGTCGTGACCAGTGAAGTTCGGTCATGTAAGAACTGGGCTGATAGCATAGATAAAATTGGAAGATTATCGTACCACATCACCAATTTAATGATGTTGGGAACGAAAATTTTGGATTCTTACTCAGAGATGCTACGAGAACTGAAGGTCCTTTATTCCATCTTCGGAGCAATATTAAACTGAGGACTATTTCAGAGTTTCCTACTATAAAGATAATTTATCCAATGCTCCTGATTTTAATTTTGTTATAATTTATAATATTCTGTAATAAAATCAATCTACAACTGGGACTATTCTCACTTATATACACAAATGATGAAATGTCATTTTTGATTGTACCTTAACATTATAGTTAGTTGATAGTGATCAATAGAATTTAAAGTAAAAGTTTTTAATCATTTGCACGTATCCGTGTGTATCTTTGTTCTTAACAGAAATGGAATTCACTAACTGTCACTTTAAATTTAAATTAGGAAACTGTATTTTAGAACGTTGACAACGTTTAACACAAGGGGGGAGACAACCTATGTATTTTAATACAAAATTACAGAATATCTTTGTAAAATATGAGAACCGTTACCATTATTATTATTATTATTATTATTATTATTATTATTATTATTATTATTATTATTATTATTAATGGCTTTATTCAATATTATAGTTTTGGTACAATATAGAATACCCAGCACAGGGTATTTCAACATGTTTCTTATACAAAAAACAGAAACAAAGACATAAAAAGGAAAAAAAGGTTTAAAGAATCTGAAAAACTGTACAACTTTTCAAATTAGAGACATGTTAAGAATGCAGGTTATTGACTAGGTTAACTCTAATAATCTGTTCGTCACAGAATATATTTGCTAGGTAAGGTATTATGGAACTTTTATACTTTTGCTTGCGTGCATGGATTTTAATGTAATTACGTCTCGTTCTACCAGAAGATATACAAGGAGAAAGATATGAGTGAAGGGGATGGTTAGTATGTGATAAAATAACACCTACCAGGAGTTTGCATGACTTTAGATGTCTATCCACAACCATTTTAATAGAGACCTCGAAAGATTCACCACAAACCTTGGTTAACTGCCTTCAGCACTCTCCGCAATACAACAAAGTCTTTTCTCAAAAGCCCATATATTAAATACTTCCTTTTCAAATTTCCAACATTAATCCTTCATATTTTGTATGATTCTTCTTATTTGCAATTCCTTTCTATTTCGGTTTCTATTCTCTTCAAATTGATTTTCATAACGTTCTGCTGCTAGTGTTTCCACTTCCGAATGATGTTACACACTACTTATGTCTGTCAACATAAGTAACATATATTACATGGTTAGTATTTAAATGTTATTTTCATAGTCGTATCTCCTAAAATTTAAGTTAAACCATTTTAAAATGTATATTATTATACTTAACAATCGTAAACATAATTCAAGCAGTTTGGTATCGATGTATCCTTAGTGATGCTTCGAATGATTTCTTCCCATTTTAATTAATTGTAGTCTAAAACGGTCTCACATTATAAACACTTTCTGCTCATAAGTATATCCTTTATTAAAAGATTTGTAAACACCTCGTTATTGCTTCTTTTAATGATGTTCAGCAAGATAAAAAAAGTGTGAAATGTATGATCTCATTGATAGGAATCATTTGACCTGACAAAAATTAAAAAAATTACTGAAGATAGAGGGCGAAAAATAAACATAGTTAGTCAGGTTAATGCAGAATTATGGTAGGGGTAATGAATAACTGAATTACTGACCCAAAGGTTTTCTCCAAGATGTACGTTATTACACAGTAGTTTTGTAAAAATGTGAAAACCATACATTAAACACGTCATTTGCACATCTTTAAGTAGACTCTTATATGCTTCATTGTTTCTTCATTCCTGTTGTCATTTTCACTGCTTTCAGTCTCCTTCTCTATTCTCTTCATTTAGATCTTCTTTATCTTGTATCACAGACATTCCATATCAAACTGGTATTTCATACTACATAAGTAGCATAAATAACAGAATTATTATTGTTCTGAAAAACCAGATTTCTATACAATTTATCTTGTTCCATTCCCAGTTGATTTCCCAAACATAAGGTGTATATTCCTGAGTAAAATTCCTGACCATATCCCACTTTCTTACCAATACTCATTTTGTAGTAAAAAGTGTAGAGTGAACTATTGATTATTCGTTTTTATAATATAACAAGTATATTTACATTCAATCATAATAAAATTCCTGTACCTTCACCATATGACACAAATGAAGCTGTTTCATCTATAACTCTAGTTAAATAGAGGCTTCTGTAGTGCCGGTTAATATGTCAGCCAATATACTTTATTCTAGCCTTTGGACAGCCCAATCTATTGATTCTACTTGAGTTATATTTTGACCTTGTTAATTATTCGCTTATCAATCTTGATTGTTCTTATCAGTATAGGGGTTATGAAGATTATTAAGTTTTTAATTGAGGTCATGAACCGATAGATCCTGCTAGCGGAATCGTGGATGCGCAATGCTGATGAGTCCCACAATAGGACAAAACGGCCATCAAGTGCATCCAGGTTTTCAATAGTTGTCTAACATCAACCACTTCTTGAGTGTTTTTATATGAGCGTATGGGTGTACACTTCTTATCCTACTCATCACATGTCTGTAGCCAATTCTTGTGTGACTATGAATATTGATTAACGCTTGACTAGAAGTTGGCTTATCCGCCATCTCCACTGCATGTCGTTTCGCTTCGCTCTATTGCATTTGCTTCATATACAAAATACATGTATTCAAATGTCCATTCTCGTCATTTGACATATTTAATTCCGTTACTGACTAACGCGATTTAAGTCGATGATTATATACGAGAATAGGCGACATGTACATTTCGTCAGCAATCATTTAATAACAATCATTGATACGATCTACTTGGAATCAGATCCCGGGCCACTAAAGTGAAGAGCCCGTCGACAGGTATCGTCCGATCTAAATAAAGAGCTCCACAAAACCTCCTCTCTACTAATCTATTAGATATAAAGAATATCGGAAATGTTTCGCAAATCGTACTTCTGAAGTTTAGGATAGTTTTTCATAGCTAAAGTTTTACGTACACATCTGATGCTATAACTGCATAAGGAAAACATAAAAAAAATAGTCTCAAGTAACAATGATTTATGAAGTAAACAACTACTTTGAAGTTGTAAACAGATCAAATTATTTATCTTCCATTGTGTCATCATTGCAATAATAATCTATATTAATAAGTTACAATTGTTTAAACAGGATAATTTGTTTAAACGATTCAATACTTTTTTATTTGGATTCACAAAATTTCAGCTTTCATGTTGTGGTTACTTTAATGGTGAAGATTTTGAAAAATCACGATTTGTTCGTAATGAATCTTATCAGAATATGGAATATCCAGGTAAATTAACTAAAATATTTAGACCATTTTGTTCTCTTATTTAATGATAGTTAATTTTACAAGTTGACTAACATGAGTCAGATAACTGTGTGAAAGATCAAGAATTTTTGAACAGTTTGTTATAACTCGTGATTGCAGATTAGACGGCAGCGAATTATCGATCGGACCAAAGACGCGTAAAACACGTAAGAACGACCTACAGTCCCGATTGGCCCTGCTTCCCTGTCTAGCCCAGCCAGTTGAGTCCAGAACGCAAGTCTCAGCCTCTGAGATATGAATCATTATATTTCAAGCATACTGTGTTTATATACCAATCAAACCGACCACAACGTATCAATAAAATATGAAACAACATTTGTACAAGATCTAGTCAAAAAGTGACTGTGAATGTGGGAGGTAATAATTAATAAACTGGGGATAACTCAAGAATGGTAAATCGTATAATAATAGTTCATAGGTCAACATAAAGCTCATAATAAGAGGGGCATGAATATGAACAGTTTAGTTACATGACAATTACACGATAAAAATACACTCATAGTATTTGTCCATAAATGGATCCCAAAAACTACCATTCATTATTCTTATCGGGATGCAACACAGTTGTACATTGATAAAGAGTTACATGATAAAACTAAATAATTGCTAAGTGCTACCTGATTTGAAATGGCTATCTAAATAAATTTGAATAGTGTAATAATAATAATAAGATTCTCTAAGCAAAGATGGATGGTGGTTAGCTATGGAATCCAGTTTGCCGCGCGTTTCATCCCATTTAGGACTCGTCAGCTTGATGTATCTGCATCTCAGAGTTGATGTTAACTCTGACTCGAACCCAGTACTGTTCGCTTCAAACGCCATCGCGTTATCCACTTAACCATATTAGCTCAATACATTTCAAATAATCTGATCACGCATAATCTTGCTAAAAATATTTAGATATAACAGTATTCAAAAACAGTTTGTTCTCAACTTAAACCTACCCTGGTAATATTAGCATATAATCCAACATGGTAAGTTTCACATTATTTTTCATATTATTTTTCCCTATTAACCTTGTCTCCTTTTACTTTTCATTTACCTAGTTGATCTCTTATATGTATATGCTTTTTAACACGTATAGGTGTGATCAGATTGTTTGAATTGTACTGTGCTAATATATCGCAAAGTTCTGATAATCTTCATGTTATTACATTATCGAAATTTATTAAAGGGACTAATTGATTTAAATGCCTAAATGAAGTTAGTCAATGACACAAACTATGCTAAAAGACGAGAAAATATTATCAAGTCTACGATGTTCACCATCTTTTAGGCATTATATTCGTTAGGTATATTGAGCGAAGATAGATATATAGATTGATAGGTATCATTATCATACTTTGACTCCAATTCTTGTTCATTTTTCTCATGTCTAACTCCATTTCTCGGCGTAATGTGTTCTTTGGTCCTCCTCTTTTCCTTTGACCCTGAGGATTCCATGTGAGGGCTTGTCTTGTGACTCAGTTCGGTGCTTTCCTCAATATGTGTCCTATCCACCCTCAGCGCTTCTTTCTAATTTTTTCCTCCACTGGGATCTGGTTTGTTCTCCCCCACAGTTGGTTGTTGCTAATAGTGTCCGGCCAACGGATCTGAAGTATTTTCCGTAGACAACTGTTAATAAACACCTGTATCTTCTGGATGATGGCTTTCGTAGATGAGGCCTCCACATTGACTGTAAATCAAACCAAATCTTCTGATTATCTTCTTCCATATTATTACATTATCGAAATTTTTATTAAAGGGACTAATTGAGTTAAATACCTATATGAAGTTAGTCAGTGATACAAACTATGAAACTGGACTATGCTAAGAGACGAGAAAATATTATCAAGTCTATGATGTTTACCATGTTAGATATCTTGAACGAAGATAGATATATAGATTGATAGGCATCATTACCAAAATTCGACTTGATAATTTCGAATTAATCTAGCATTGGGTAGATTGTTATAAACAAAGCTAATATATTTGTAATATCCCAACGAGTAGAAAAATTAGATTTTCTGACGTTTCATGACTTCGTGTAAGCCACTTCTTCAGAGAATAAGTAAATAACCAGGTCAAATTTAATCCAAGTTTAAATAGTACAAAGGGACGACGTAAGAATATTATATGCGATCATTCAAAACACGGGTCTGAACAAACCAATGTTATGTCGTTTCGGTCAAGGTGATTTATAAGCAACATGTATGTACAGTTGTGTGTGTGTGCATGTGTGCACGGTGTTTCTGTTCTTTTTTACTATTTAAACGGATTAAATTTGATCAGGTTATTTGTTGATTCTCTGATGAAGTGGCTTACACTAAGTCACGAAACGTCAAAAAATCTAATTTTTCTACTCAGTGGGATAGTACAAATATATCAGTTTTTCTTTGTAGACAAATTGATAGTTTTTACCTTTAACAATTGTAAACTATAAAGGTAAATGAAATTTTGTAACAATGAAATATGCTTACTGTGTATTTATACATTTAATATTAAGACAATTAAATTTTAAATTAAATTGACCAAAATATGAAAATCTTCGTATCCAAGAGACTGAATTTAAATCAACTCAGCGTTTCTTTCGAGGATCATATGGTTCAGGCATTTTTTATGAGGAAATAAGTGAAACAATTGATTACTACACCTTTATTCAATCATGTTCAGATGGTCATTTTGTTTACAGTGAGGATGTAAGTTATTTAGTGACTAATTTGCTCGAGTGACTCCATTTGAAGTCATTGACAGGTTTATGGTGTTGCTTTTATTAAAATCCAGTTGAAAAACAAACTAGTGTATTGAGCCTATTAATGCATGTATTGATAAGAAAATATGTAGTGCAATTCACAAGTCACTCTAAGCTAGACCACCATTGAAAACCTAGAAGTATTACAATCTCCAGAAATCCCCAAAATTCATTCTTAAAAAAGTCATCTTGTGTCTTAAAATGTTAATCAAAAACAGAACGGAAGATATGTAAACGTGATAATTAATGGAGTTAATTCCATTATGATTAGTAGTGAAATCCAAGAGTCGCGTTTTGTCCTACTTAAAACTCAATAGCTAGATGTTTCTCCATCCTGTAGTTAAGGAGAAGACAGGTGAGGACAACCGAATGTATCTGAACACAAAATTACAGAACATTTCATTAAAATCTGAGAATCATATAGTAAATAGGTCATTTGCAAAATATCAATCGATTGTCTTAAACTTGACTGTTCCTTCTGAAAATATCAGTCCATTGTCTCATATTTGATTGTTCATACCTTTTCATACCGATTGCGTCCCGTTTCCATTCTTTCCTTATCGATCTTCTGCTGAAATACATTCTATGCCTGACCACCGTTATATACTACTTATGTGGATATAAGTAGCTAACACAAACAGTATCATCGTTAATGTTCAAATTCAGATTCAAACGCATTGTTCACTAAGCTACTGCATCTGAATAACCGCTAACTCGTTAAATCGCTTGTATTTCTCAATACTAACGTTAAAATTATTATCTATGTTATTGATTGCATAAATGTTGATCAATTACTTGAATGATCCATTTTTGGTTTATTAATGTAGACATTCAGTATCCAATCACATGTTGTCAATTGGATTCGAAATTCTCTTTAAGATATTCTTCATGTCCAAATTACTTTACTGAATCAAATAGCTTTATTCAAATTGGTTGTTGGAATAAATTAAATGATTTAATTCTACTTATTCGACATGCTATGATATTAGTTATAGTTGGTAAAATTGGAATATTGGTAAGTAATAATAAGATAATTCAGATGAACTCTTTTTGTGATCAAATGTTCAACTGTCATATGGTTGCGTAAGACTATGGATCATTTGAAGTTAGATATTAACACAGTTGGATACTGTCTCAATATTCTAGAGATTAAATGTTCACATGCGAGACCGATGATCCTGGGTTCGAGTCCCCCGTGCAAGGTCGTGGAAGTGCACTGCTGAGGAAACGGCCATCCAATGCTTTCAGGTTTCCAATGATGGTCTAGGTTAAATCGACTAATGAATTCATTTATTGAGAATCACTACAATCTCCACAAACCCTTATTCTAATAATAACAGTCATACTGTTTATAATCTGTACAACTATGTAGTCATATTATAAGATAACAATATCATATAGGTACACTAAAAGGTTCAGGAATTACTATTTGTCACAGTATCACCGTAAATACAGAAGAGTTTATTGTTTTATTCTATTATTCTGGAATGAATTATTCCATGAGATTGAAAATTTGTTTACTTATTAGACAGATTTCCCAGCAAATATTTTTTAAGTTGGTTACAGTACAGAAACATTACTTTTATAGAATGTATTCATAATGAATCTAGTTTAGTTAAAAAGCATTTGTAAATCAAGAAGCACTGGACAGTTGTTTCATTCTAGTGTGAAACTCAAAACCTCCACAAGGATAGATCACATTACCTTCATATCTCGAAGCGAGAGCGTAACAATTAGAACCGTTACATTTATTGTTGGACGGTAAACATTTTCGACTTCAATCAATTCACAATTAAGCACGACGATTATCCAATAATATTGGTGATAAATGTTTCAACTGAGATATGTCTGAACTCATTCTATCATAACTTCGGGAACTCAACTTGAACTAAGTCACTAGTAAACTGATGAGTTTATCTTTAATGACGTTCGTTTTGGCAACTAAATAGTATCTCAACTGAGATAAGTTTTTTTAATAGTCGAGATCATGAGTCAATTGAAGCTAGACCACCATGGAAAACCTGGAAGCACTGAACGGCCATTTCGTCCTATTATGAGACTCTTACGTGGCAGTGCGCATTCACGACTACGCCTCGCGAGACTCGAACCCAGGACTTACTGGCCTCACGCGCAAGCACTTAACCACTAGATTAGTTTATCATCAATACCTTTTTACTAATTGAAATAAAAGAAATGGAAATTAATCGTTAATTGTTGTTCTTCTGTTTGTTTTTTCTTTTTCTCTTCTTCTTTTCATAGTTCATTCTATCAGGATTTTCATCGTTAGAAATAATTCCACGTAAAACAACTTTTATTTATCCATAAAGTACTTTGAATAAATACAGATTAGAAAATCAGTTGATTATAATATCCATAGATTGACTTTAGATTTCTTGGACTTATGTATCATTTATATTGTACAATAAACAATAAACTTATAACGTAATTATGTTATATTTTAAACAGTTAAAGTGAATCATTTTATTCTTAAAATGATAGAGTTTGCATTTTGAATAATATAAACATACTGAATGAATATGTTGTTAATTGAATTCAATGAACTGATACATTTCTGTGAACTATATCATCATTAGAAGGTTTTCATATTCTGTTTATATTTAAGAATAAAATATCTAATCCTTAATCATTGGTTTTAGATTGAGATCATAAACCGATTGATGTTAGATCACTATTGAAAACCTGGAAGCATTGGACGACCATTTCGTTTAATTGTGGAACTCCTCAGTAGTGTTTATCCACGATCCCACTTGCAGGATTCGGTCTCGCGCGCGAACGCTTAAACTCGAGACCAATGAGCCGGCATCCAATGGTGTTGATGTCTAACCTCAACTAATCCACGAAATCGCGTAACCATTTCCTATTGTACTGAGACAGATACCTGTCTCTACCCGACGAGGATTAGCTCTACTGATCACGGCTTCTCCGAGAATTCTTTCACGAAGCTAGTCACTAGTGAGCACATGGTTTTATTTCCAATCTTGGGTAATATCATTCAAGTTGATTTTGCAGTATGATCGCTTTAGGATAAGATGAAATGAAAAATGAGGATCCATTGTGTTTTGTGTTAAATCATTAATATCATTTTATAGTACATCATAGTTCTTGTATTCACACTTGTTAGTATCTATTGATGAGCTGTATATGTAATTTCATGTAAAGAATACGTGTTTTGATCTTCGTATGCAATTAAGAACATTATTTTTTAAAAAAACTTACCACGAAAGTACACATTTGAAAGATTATAATCCGTTATGAATAGTAAACTAAAATGAGATTTTAAACAAGGATAGTAAGTTTAAGTACCCATCGAAAGCTTCACATAAGTAAGTTATTTTTTCACAAAACAATGATTAACGTGGACAAGCAAAGATACACATAGTTTGAGTTGAGACCTTTTGAGGCTACTACTAATAAACATTGAATGTAGCATGATTAGAATTCAAACAAAACTGTATTCAAAAGAAAATTGAACTATTAAACAATATCATATAGGTTTTGTGGATATTATAGTAATTTCAATGGTTAAGATCATGAGTCAATTGAAACTAGACCACCATGGAAAACCTGGAAGCACTGGACGGCCGTTTCGTCCGACTGTAGGACTCCTCAGCAGTACGCAATAAACAATAGTTGTTCATCTTTAATTTTGTTGAACTAGAAATAATATTTACAGGTTGTTTGGACTAATGAGAAGTGTTTTAAATACTTGTATACAATACGTAATGATTATATACTCAAACGCAACTGAAAATCTTACTTCAATAGCTTAATGTATATTCACAGTACATGATGAAGTATTCACGCTTTCTTCATAAAAGTTTTGTTATTTCGTAACTTAACCGTTTTTAAAATACTCTGCTTTTGGTAGCTGCACTGAAGAACGTTTTCGACAAATTAACTTCTGAAAGGATAACTTACAGTTGAGATAATCAAATTGTTTTATGGTCGTCATTCAATATATTCTAAGAAATATACAGTACACTAAAGTGTAATAACATGTTTAGTGGTTAGTTTCTACTACATCTGTAAAGCACTTACGATATCGACGTTGATTATGACAACTGCTGACAAGTCCTACAAGGATTCAATAGGAATCTTAGTATTCTACCATAAAGATACCTATACAAAAGTAGCAGAAAAGTGAAAAATGCTAGCTTATACAAAAAACCACTTCAAATACAACAGCTGCCTTCATGTCAGTTAACGTCCCAAAAAAATTATCGTCTTAGGTTTAAAATGAATATACCTACTATGCAAATATTCTGCAGTACGTTTCATAATTTTAAACCTAAAAAATGGTAAGAATATGCATTCCCAAGAAGAGATTTTATGATGAGTTTTATTATGACGGTTGGCTGAACATAATGAACAGACTAAAAAAAACTTGATGTATTTGCCAGGTTAGCCAGTTACAGAGTGTAGATTCCTTAACCGTCCCTAAAGTTTTTGGCTTCAATACATAAGAAACAAATTCTAACCTACTTAACGTCATCATTTCTAAACATCTCTCCAGAGTGTATTACAAGTTTAATAGCAATATTTTTAAATGACGTTTAATGTGAATAGTAATGGTAAATTGAGGTTAAACATGAGAAAACAAATGAACCAAGATATGTATTCGTTATCATTCATCATCAACAACGTTGTAGAAAAGTAAATATGTATTTTCTGTTATCTTTGTGATATCAGTTGATGTCAATCAAGCGTCATTCGGAAAAACGATGAAAAAACTGTTTTAAGTTAGGGATTTTAAGAACAATTTATGATTACGTCGTTCTACAGCAACATGACTTTAAGATACGAATTTGACAGAAGGGACACCTCAAATATAAGTTGATGAGGATGGTTTGAACCTAATCTACCGATTGTGTTTCTATACGTTCGTTAGCTTACTGTATATTTAAACTACTCTGTAAAAATTCCAGACTATTTGTTTTGACAATGAATTACATAGTTATTCAAATACATTTTCCTCAATATCACGAACCGAACTAACTTGGACAATCATTGAAAACCTGAAAGAATTGAACTGCCGTTTCACCTTAGAGTGGGACCCTTAAGCGTTGCACATTCTTGTCTTCACAACCGGGAACAAACTCATAATCTCGCGCGCAAGATATTAACCTCTAGATTACTGAAAAAAGATTCAATGGTCTACATGTCTAACTTCAACCAATCCTCAGGATTGTTTGACTTGTCTTCTAACAAATAAATACTCAACCTTATGAAAATATCTTTCATACTTATCAATCATTTATCAATCTTCATTGATGAGAACCTTTCTGATAGTGTAATGTAAAGCATGTACACTGTATTTTACAAAAATGATCAGTATATTTATTTCTAGGTCGTCAGCAGATGAAAATCTGCTACGATTATTGTTATTGTTTCAAAACTTAATACAATATACTCTACAATAAACCTAAAATGACATTTATTAGTGTATTTCTGTGACAAATCAATGTGCCTTTAATTGATTTCAAAAGCATGAGCGATGACTTATTGACGATTTACAGTCTTTTGAATAGACTGGTATTGTACTTTGTAACTTTGCACATGTTAGTAAATTGTGTCATTGTTTGTTGTTTTGCAAAGCACAGAAAACTAGTTGTTGTTTTTGAAATGACTAACGAAGGTTCCGGTTATCAACAATACGACGACTACTACATAGTAATAACAAACTAATCAATCAAAATAACATAATTCAATCTGTTGATATACTTCCCTTGTCAAATAGATATCCAGACTGAGATACTAAGATTGCTTGTGAAACTAAAGAGAAAATTTCGAGAAACATATAGCAACCGTCGATCTCTTATGTTGGTGAAACTATCTACCGTCTTCGGCTCCTTAAGCTTCGCAGTTACAGATTTACTATCCGAATAATTTTCTGATGGTTGAGTTTCACAGAACTGTCAGTGCATACGATTTTAGTAAAACATTCGTAGTTGAGGAAAATAAATGTAACGACAAAACAACTGAAGATGTTAATAATTTCAAAATAATCGAGACAATGAACTGATCAATGTTAGGAACCCATTGAAAAACTGGAAGCACTAGACGTCTGTTTCGTCTTAGTGTAGGGTTCCTGAACAGCGCGCATCCACAATCTCGTATGCATGATTCCAATTCAGTACATTAGGTCTCGAGCGTAAACGCCTAACCTCTAGTTCGCCGAACCGGGATTTGATGGTGTTGGTGTCTACTTCAACCAATCTACCATGTCGCGTGACTATCTTCCATTGTCTTCAGTGGGTAACTGCCTCACACCCGACACAGGTGAACCCTACTGGTCACGGCCTTTCATTAAAACTCCAAGAATTACCTCTTGAGACTAGACATTTGCGATCATCCTAATATATTAAAAAAAGATATACGCATACTTTTATGTACTATGTATTTATGTGTAAAGATCGTAGATTTAAACAATTCTATGAAACATTTTAGTTGTTCACTTGAAATAATACATCCTTGTTGCTACTCTTTTCATTAATTCTTCATAAATATATGAATTATCTAGTAACTTTATTATAATGTGATTGCAGGTAACCTATAGGAAACTGTCTACCTAGACTTTAAGATAGTTGGAACTCGTTAGAAAGGGTTATCTACAATCTTGAAGAAACTGATGCTGTTCATCGGTAAGTGATATCTAGTCAGTTACACAATCATTACATATTACATTTGATTGATTAAATTCAATCGATACTAAGAATCAGACAAATATCACATTGGGAATCATTCAATGACCAATCAATGAAGGCAACATAATTCTCTGAAACAGTCCACACAAGAATAAAGTATTATATTACCTGATTAGTCATAGAGTTATTTTAACTATCAGTGTAGTAGTACGGTAGAAAACAACGTTATTTGTTGCCATTAAACTAATGAAAACTACCTGTCTATAGATAGGGGTACTTCCTCAGTCTGGTGAGAATTACATGATGACTTAAGGGTCTTTTGGTTATTCTTGTACTTACGAGAGAAACATAAAATGAAGGACTGAAAGAATAACTAACCTTCCAGTTAACTTATACAAGTATGAGCCTCGTGATTGTGTCATTTATTTTCCTGCCCCAATAACTTACAACATGCAAGTGTTTTTCAAGATAACCAAGTTGTGTGACAATCATACTTATTTAGGTCTCGAGATCCATAACAATATCCTAGACTTAATTCTCGGTTGCTACGCCATTAAAAGCGCACTGATGCGGAGTCCCATACCAGGATAAAACAACAACCCATTACATCCAGGCTCTTAATGATTGTTTGACTTAGATAGGTTAGTGACTTCAATAAAA